GTCGGATTTTTTTTCGATAGAAAAAAAATTGAGGTCTCCGTATTTGAGGACGGATCTTTTTTCTATAGAAAAAAATTCGGAGACCTCTGTTGAGGTCGGATCTTTTTTCTATAGAAAAAAATTCGGAGAACTCAATTGAGGTCGGATTTTTTTCTATAGAAGAAAATTCGGAGACCTCTGTTGAGGTCGGATTTTTTTACTATAGAAAAAAATTCGGAGACCTCTGTTGAGGTCGGATTTTTTTTTCTATAGAAAAAAAATTCAGAGACCTCTGTTGAGGTCGGATTTTTTTCTATAGAAAAAAAATTCGGAGACCTCTGTAGAGGTCGGATTTTTTTTCTATAGAAAAAAATTCGGAGACCTCTGTTGAGGTCGGATTTTTTTTCTATAGAAAAAAAATTCGGAGACCTCTTTTGAGGTCGGATTTTTTTCTATAGAAAAAAAAATCGGAGACCTCTGTTGAGGTCGGATTTTTTTCTATAGAAAAAAATTCGGAGACCTCTGTTGAGGTCGGATTTTTTTTTCTATAGAAAAAAATTCAGAGACCTCTGTTGAGGTCGGATTTTTTTTAGAAAAAAATTCGGAGACCTCTGTTGAGGTCGGATTTTTTTTTCTATAGAAAAAAAAATCGGAGACCTCTGTTGAGGTCGGATTTTTTTTCTATAGAAAAAAATTCGGAGACCTCTGTTGAGGTCGGATTTTTTTTCTATAGAAAAAAATTCGGAGACCTCTGTTGAGGTCGGATTTTTTTTCTATAGAAAAAAATTCGGAGACCTCTGTTGAGGTCGGATTTTTTTTCTATAGAAAAAAATTCGGAGACCTCTGTTGAGGTCGGATTTTTTTTCTATAGAAAAAAATTCGGAGACCTCTGTTGAGGTCGGATTTTTTTTTTCTATAGAAAAAATTCGGAGACCTCTGTTGAGTTTTTTTGAGGTCGGATTTTTTTCTATAGAAAAAAATTCGGAGACCTCTGTTGATTTTTTTTTGAGGTCGGATTTTTTCTTTAAAAAAAATTCTCAGTTGAGGTCGGATTTTTTCTTTAAAAAAAGTTTTTCTTTCATAAAAAAACTTACAGACCTCAGTTTAGAATTTTTTCTATAGAGAATACATTTTCTCAGACCTCAAATTCAGATTTTTTTAATCCTCCATAACCGTAAATCCACCATTGTCCATTCGAGCTTCCGATGTTTTGCGCACTATATGCGTCTGTATGTATGTTTCAGTGTGTGTGTGTCTCCTTGTCTTGACGCCATTGTGCTCACGATTTACCCACAAATATAGAGAATCTACCACCAATTCCCCACCATATATGGTCTTAACACTATTTTCAGTTGGATCCGGACTGCAGAGCGCCGCCATTTGGCACGATATTGATGTCATGTAAACAGATCATGATGCAATTACTCACTCCGGTGACTTGACTTGACTGCCTGCCACATGCAAAAATAGCAACACTAGCTATACCGACAGACAGACACACAATACCAACAAGTCGCCAAATATTGTTTGGCGGCGGCAGGCGGCTTTTTTCGTTAAAGGTTCAAACACTTTTGTTAACTTGGCCAACAAGCAGCACCAGCAACAACAACAACAATAAAGTGGCGCTAAACTTGTCGCTTGGTTTTTATTTGCCTATTGTTGTTGTTCTTGTTGCTGTTGTAGATGGTGTTGATAGTGGACGCCGTCCACAGCACCATTGTTTTCCGATCTGATTGCTGTTTATAGGAAAATAATGGAAAATTTACATATGCTATGTATGTGTGTGCGTGTTTGGTGGTTTTTGGTGCCGTCCGAGCCACCATCATCACCTTAATCCTGCCTGACCTCCGGCACACGATGCTGACCATAAGCTTTCATTGTATACGATGATCATTATTATTATTGTTGTTGTTATTGCCATTATTGTTGTAATTTATGAATTGTTGCATGATATCGCGATTTTAGGTTGTTGCTGTTGTTGTTGTTGTTGTTATTGTTGCTTTGCTGGTAATTGTCAAGAATCATAAAATCCATTTAGGTTTTGAAAAATTATTATGACACATTGATTTGTTAGCCTGGGGCGACAGGCGACGATGTGATTACGTCGGCAATGGATGAGGCAAGCTTGCGGATCGATATGGTCACGCAGCAGTATGACGAAAGAATTTTGACAATATTGTGAGCTCTGATGTCTCAGTATTTTTTTTCTATACGAACAAAAATCCGACATCAACTGAGGTCTCACAAATGTTTTTCTATAGAAAAAAATCGATGACCTCAATTTTTTTTCTATAGTAAAAAAAGTCGACGACCTCAACCGAGGTCTCACAATTTTTTTTCTATAGAATCGCTAACCTCTACAAATGTTTTTCCATGGAAAAAAATCCTCTACTGATATCTCCGCATGTTTTTTTTACAGAAAAATACCTTAGATAAACTCAAGTCTCCGATTTTTTTCCAGAAAAAAATCAACCACAACTTATGTTACCGTTTTTTTTCTATAAAAACAAACTAACCTCGAGGTCTCCAAATTTGTTTCTATAGAAAAAATCCGACTTCAACTGAGGTCTCCGAATTTTTTTCTTTGTATGAAAAACCTCAGCAGAAGTTTCGAATTTTTTTTCTAGAAAAAATCCGACTTCAGCTGAGATTTTGAGAACTCAGATAAGGCATAGATCTTTTTTCGGTAGAAAAAAATCCTATCTCGGAATTTTTTGAGAATTTTTTTTCTTTATATTTTTTTTTTCAAAAATATTTTTAATTAAACTTTATGCTATTTGAAATCCCGTTGTGAACATTTTTCATATCCCAATTTGTATCTAATTTTATTCTATATTAAAAAGTACTTCGAACAATTTGTCCAAAAAATTATTAACACTTAAGACGGTGTATTAATCAAATTAAATTCACATTGTTTTTAATTATGATAAATGAATCAATTAAATAAAAACACAACAACAAAAGTACATATGGCGGTTAATTGTTGTTGTTGTAGAATAAAAATATAAAAATAAAAATAAGTACTTAAGTGGCAGCCCCGGCGGTTAACCATTTATGGTCAAGTTTCTATAAAAAAATACTCTGAAACGAAACCAAACCAAATAAGAGCGGGACTTAAATTTATAACACAGATCTAATGTGAAGTACTCGGGGAGGAGGAGTAGGAGGTGGGGAGTGAACTACATCATACACATTTTGCAAAAATACACTCATGAATATTTATTTTTTAGTTGTATTTACAGAGAAAAAAAATTTATTTATTTATAGACAAGTTGTCGAGAACTGTTTTTTTTCATTTTTCGAAATGGAACAAAATTAAAAATGCAATGAAATTAAAATAAATATTGAAAATAAAAACCCCCCACCTACATTCAATGGTCTGATTCCTTTGTTGATTTTTCTTCTTCCTCCCCCAATAAATCCACCAGCTGTCGATATCCAATATCTTGCATGTCACTCAATTCAAACGGCTGTCCAGTAATAACTTGCAGTTCTCTCTCTCTCCCTCTCCGATAATTAATGATAGCCACTTAAGTTCAATAGTTGACCTCCTTCTGGAATTACCTCACCAGAATTGTGCGAATCATCCAAATCCAAATGCCAGTTCTGCAACTTATTCACCAATGTCAATGCAACGAGGTGCAATGCAACATTGTGTTAGTGAATGACACATCAACACATACACACACATGTGTAATAGCCCGATCGACACACTTGACAATTGTAATTAATTTATTTGAATTGTCAAGTTCTTTAGCCGACCTGCTCTGCTCCCACACACACCCCTTTCATGGCATTACCTGTTCAACAAATATCAATTTTCAGTTTTGTATTTTTTTATTTAAATTTATTATTTTTAGAAAATCTATTAAGATATCAATAAAAATGCATATTTAAATGTAATAATAATGAGGGTGGAGCTGAGGCCATTTTACTCTATAGAAACAAATTTGCAGAACTCATTACAGGTCCTTTTTCAGGGGAAATAATTTAGACGCCTCTGCGGAGGATATTTTTTTCTATGAAAAAGAAAAATTCATAGACTTCAGTTGAGTTCGGATTTTTTTCTACAGAAAAAAATTCAAAACAACATTTGAGGCTAAAAATTTTTAGGTCCCATTTAAGGTCTAATTTTTTGTCTATAAAAAATCCTTAGGCCTCTACAGAAAAAAAAAAATCAGAACCTAGTTGAGGTCATATTTTACTATACTATTCTATTCGCAGTCAATTGTTGAGCCCATTTTTCTGTAGGATATTTGTGTAGGGGGCAGTTAAGTTAATTTTTTTTTCGATAGGAAAAAATTCACAGACCTCTGTCGGATTTATTCTATAAAAAAATCACATACCCAGTTGCTGTCAATTTGTTTCTATAAAAAAGAAATCACTGGCCTCCTCACGGCCTCTGTAGAAGCAATTTTTCTATAGACCAAATTGAGCCTGCTTTTACTGAGGTCTGAAAACAAAACTTCATCAACTACGGTTTGTATTTTTTGTACCCACCATTATTCGACGTGGGGCTCATCAGGCTCATCAGGTATATTTGCAAACCCTAGAAACGGATTTTATTTTTATAAAAATTCTGCATTCTTTAAGAATTACTATTTTGTTCTCAATAAAAAATTATCCGGACTTTTTTCTTTAGAAAAAATTTAATAGTCCTGAGAATTATTTTTTTTTCTATATCATAAAATTCGGCAGTCCATGAGCACTTATCAGATCTTTTCCATGAAAAGTGTCCCAATCCGAAGACCGAAATTTTATAGTTAAAATTCGAATGTCTTGACAACTCATTGTATCTATAAAAAAATTTCGACAATTCTGAGATAATTTTTCTATGAAAGTTACGGAGCACTTGGAGAGGTTTTTTTCTATAAAAAAAATCTGAGGTCTAAGTTCTTCTGCAAAAAATGTCATAGCCTGAGTCCTCATGATCGTAAAACTGTTTGTTATGCGGTTCTTTCTTGTTTTTACAATTTCACATTTTTATTCATTTTTTTTTCTTATTTTTATTCTCTTTTTAGAAATTGCCCGCGTTCGTGCCTCACTATTCCAAATAAATGGTGTGAAAAAAGAACCCCTTATGTTGCCAGAACCCGAGGGACCCGTTGTGTCATTAAATGAAAAAGTCTATGTACCTGTGCGAGAACACCCAGATGTAAGTAACACGATTTTTTTCTATTTATTAACAAATTATTAAGAAGTTTACGTTGGGCGCCACTTGAATATGAAGTAGCAATGAGCTTAGAAATTAAGGCATACAAAGGAACTTCTATATAAATGGGGTTGAATGGGGTAGATGTAGAAAGAGAGGCATTCTATTGATAAATAAGATTCCAATTGAAAGAGGGACTGTTTGATAGAGAGAAAGAGAGAGAAAGACAGATAGAGAGAAAAAGTGACGGATAAAGAGGTCTATAGAGAGAAGAGTATTTCAAATGTTTATTTTTATATACCACGTTTTTTATTTAAAAAATTTCACGTTGGGCGCCACTTTATTGTCACCAACTGAAGTTAAAATGGTCTTTCGGGGGAACTCTTAATACAGTTTTTTATATCATGAGACTAAAATATAGAGAGAGGGTTTGTTGATAAAAATACCACCTGATAAAATATCAGTAAATATAAATATCGCCTAAGATAGATCCCTTATGAGGGGTGTATTTTAGATTTTTCTTTATAAAAATAAAAAAAATATTCTGTATTCTGTGTAAGCATGCTTTTTTCACGTTGGGCGCCACTTTGTTATGAGTCAGCCTTTGGTTAGAATTTGTGTCTTTTGGAGGGACTTCTAAAGATAATAGTTTATATGATGATGCATAGGGAGAGGAGTTCTTCGGATAGAAATGAGAGAGATTGTTAGAAATTACAAATTACCTGAGTGCACTTCGATATAGAACGTTTGCTTTTTTCGAAAATTTAACATTGGGCGCCACGTTATCATGAATTAGTATCTAAGGTAACGATAATTTTTTTTTTTCTGAGAAACTTCTTAGGACAGATTTTTTGATGAGTCTGATTTTAATGGGGTCTTCTGCGAATAAAATATCTCCGGAAAATGTTTCAGTTGATAAAGAGAGACCAACTTGAGAAAAATCTCTTGTAAGAACAGAAATTCCGACTTTTCTGACTTTTCTATACATATGGACATACTCTAAATGGTCTTCAATGTAGAGTATATCTTCAAAGAGGTTCTCATTGGATGTATTCGGTTTGATTAAAAAACATTGAAGTATTTGAAATATATAGGAAAATTTAAGGACCTAGTCTAAAATCCTCATTGAGATATGTGGGATATATCAAAGCTTTTTCGAAGCAAATGAGAGAGAGAGAGGTCTTCATCGGATAGAGAGCAAGAGATATTCTTTCAGAATAGACGGACGTAATTGCACTTGGATTTACCATGTTCTTTTATTTCGAAATGTTTACGTTGGGCGCCACTTTATAATCAGAAACTCAGAAACTTCTTAAGACAATTTCATGAGCCTTCTACGAATAATAAAATATCCGGAAAGTTTTTCTGTAGAAAGGGAAATCGACTAGAGAGACATTTCTTGTAAGAACAGAAATTCCGACTTTTCTGACTTTCTACAAATAGAAAGATACAGTACTCTAAATTTTCTTCTATATAGAGTAGATCATCTAAAATGTTCTAATCGGATGTCTTCGGTGTGATTACAAAACTCTGCTATATTTGAAATATATAGGAAATTTAAGGACCTAGTTTGTGTATAGAAATTTTATAAAAGGGCCTTCATTAGAGGCTATTCCGCCTACTATGGATAAAATCACCATTGAGATATGTGGGATACATCGGAGCTTTTTCGAAGTAAATGAGGAATTATTTTCTGAAAAGACTAGACACATTAAGATATATTAAATACAGGCCAATTTGAAGGAATATAAAATATCGAGGGTATTTTTGTGGGTCGAATGCCTTGTGAGAGGTCTGTTACAGAAGACCCTTTTAATCGTTCTGAGATGAAGACATCTATATTTGTAGACACATTCTTTATTCCATAAGAACATAATTCATAGTATTCGGAATTCGGAGGAAAATTCCGCCAATAAATTAATCTTCCTCCAACAAGAGGCCAAACACCCTCTTCTCCCAAAAAAAAAAAAAAAATAGTTTTTGCATTTTGCCCCACAAAAAAGGAATTTGAAATATTACCAAATGTACACCATCATCATCCGCATCATGCCCAAAGAACGTCGGTCATTGTCCATATGCCACGAAAGTTGTTGGCTGCCGATTGAAATGAAAACGAAATGAAATCAAGCAGGCCGTGCGGCAAATTTCGCTCAATTTGCTCAGCGATTAGAGTGCGAAAGCCAAGTCATTGCAATCAAATGTTCAGTGTGAGGAACACACATATGGCGTCACAATGGATGGATGGATGGATGATTTTTTTTTGTTTGGGAAACTATAATAGAAATGGGTTAGTTAGGCGATCAGCTAACAAACTGCCTCTGCTGACTGACCGACTGTGAGGTCTCAAAATGTAAATGCGTAAAATCTTAATGGATTATGTAAAAATAATATGTTAACACTTCAACAAATGTGGAGGAAAAATAAATATTTGGATTCCAAGAAAACCTAAGTATTGATTTTTGCGGTATTATTGACGTTGGGCGCCATTTTTCTGGGAAAATTTTAAAATAAATTTGGAAATTTGCAAAGGGAATGCAAAAAAATGTATATCAGTGGTATTTGGTTGGATGGGAAATTTAAGAATTTGTTTTTAGTATCTTGGCCTACATTTAAGAAATTTTAAAATATTCACGTTGGGCGCCATTTTTATGGAATTTAGCAAACTATTTAAAATATAGGTATATATGGAAAACTGATTATCTAGGAATATATTTCACACTAAGAGCGATAAAAGGGTCGACAAATTATGGCTAAATTCCAAATTCATTCCATAAAGCCCCACATTGGGCGCCAATTGTGTTTGACACAGTTACAAATACATTATCGACATTTGTATGTGTACATCCCTGGAATTTTTAAATTTATTAAGTAATTATTCATACATCTACAATGTATCGAATATTGTCTAAGAAACAACAACAGCAAAAAACGCCAATAATAAGAAAAATCGACTAAAAAAATAAATCTATTGTCTCTATTTGTCTACAACAACGCTGTCACATTAGTCTGCTTGCGGACGACGACGACACTAAATTTATAGATAATTTCCAAAGTGTGGATGAAGGCCTAGATGAATGCTTCATTGGCTGGCTGGCTGACTTCGTTGGCACACCTTAAAAATGATTTCCGGTGTACCAGATATTCATTGAGCTTCTAAAGATCTGCTAACACCCTCTCTCTACCTCCCTCCCTTGAACCTCTTGGTAATATCTCTGCTAATAACCAATTGTCGTGTTAAAACAATGACAAAATAATGTTATTAAATAGCAATCGGGATGGGGGGAGGAGAACCGACTCAAATATCAATACAACATAGAGACGAACGCGACAGGGTTTGTCAATTTAAATTAACGGAAATTGATATGTAAAAAAATTTAAAAATATATGTTGCCTTTGAATAATGCGAAGAACTTGACAGATTCTAAAAACAAAGTTAGGAATATATATGTAAGAAAAAATAGAAAACGGACGTTGGGCGCCACTTTGTGCAACAAAATAAATACATTCTAAGCCATTTGGCATAACAATTAGAAAGACAAGGCTATGCATAAGCTAGGCAGCTAATAAAGACCGGGGTCTAGACTAGGCGTCCAATAGCATAGAAACAGATCTAAACGATGACCATCTTCAAGATGAAAAATAATCATACGACTGTTTTAAACAAATGCAAGGAGAAAATACTCGATTTTACACTGAGTTACTTAAAAGACCCACATTGGGCGCCATTTTTTAGAAGTGCTGTTGATTCAGAATCGTATTTAAAATCATTGGAAAAATATATAAATTAAAAAGGAAAACTGTTGGGTTTGTTATAATGTTGGTAAATGTCTAGTTAAAATTTCAAAAATTCACGTTGGGCGCCATTTTCATGAAATTTAAAAAAAATGCATCCACAAATGGAAACATGATTCCATAAGAATGTATTTTCCACTAAGGGCACAAAAAAGCTTAGACATATTATCGATAAATACACAAAATCATTGCTTAAAATCCCACGTTGGGCGCCATTTTTTCTTTCAAAAGTTATGAGGCGCCTAGTGAAGGTGCCTGTATAAGGTGCCTAGTAGAATCTGAATTTTACATTGGGCTTTTAGCTCAGGTCTTCACTAGACACTTAGTGGAGTCTCAGCCTTTAGTACAGACTCAAGCTTTTTCTAGGGGCCTGGTAGAAGTCCAATTTATTAAAATTTTCCTATTTAAATCTCCGAACATTAATTGGCATCCAGTGGAGTCTCTGGTAATTTTTAAGCGCCTAATGGAGACTCAGATTTGTATAAGGTGTTTAATAGAAGCTGAGGTCTATTTTAGGCGCCTATGGGATGTTTTTACTAGACGTCTAATGAAGCCGCAAGACATTTCTAGAAGCTCAGGTGCTTTAATAGGCTCCTGGTAAAACCTTAAACCGCTAATAAGCGCCTAGTGAAGTCCCAGTTTTTTTTATTAGTCGCGTCTTGTGGATCTTCTGGCCTTTAATAGACGTCTTAGTAAAGGTCTTGGTCTGACTAAGCGCCACACCAAGATTCTGGTAAAAATCAAATCCTCCAATACGGCAGCCGTCAAGTAAATAGGTAAAGATCTCAAGCGGGGGAAAAGGCATAGAATTGTCATATTTTGGGGAGTAGTAATGGACAGTAAAGGCAACAACCTTCAGCAGGTGTCTAGTTAAAATATGTGTCTAATGCGCCTAACAGCTATCTCCCTTATATAGACCAGAATCTCCAATATGTTTTTAATAGAAACATGGGTCGCTAGTAGAAACCGACCCAATTCCAAATAGTGGCGACATTAGTTTTTTTAGACTTATTTTTATATTTTTTTATACATTTATAAATTTTATCGGAAACTGACACCCGAATGTTAATTTTTAGTCGTAAAAGAGTTTACATATTCAGTGATTAATTCAGGCCTTGTTATTATTCAATTTGAGCAAAACCTATGGTCAAAAACAAATTATTCATGTTGGGCGCCAAATCCTAAAAAAAAAATAAACGGGTTAAAAAGAA